CACTTAAAATGCGTACTTCAAGCGTGCAGACCCTGATATGGGACACAGCTTCTGGCTCCAAATTTGCAAGATGGCAGCCTCCACAAGCGGGGTATTTTGGCTTCATTTTTGCACAATGGTAGGAGGCGGGGTCGCGTCGTCCATCTTTTCTACAGTCAATGGTTAAAACCATATCGTTTTATCCCTCCGCACTGAGAAGCAACATTTCCAGCGTACTCAATGAACTGAGTTGATCAGCTTCTTGAATTAAAAGAACTGCTAACTTACTTAAACTGAGTTCTAATAACAATTTGATTAGAAAACACAAACAAACCTAAAAATAAATTTAAAAAAAAAGAATTCAGGCTACTTAATATTTTTAATAAAACACAATATTAGATTTCACAGTGTGCAGAGAAACATTTATCAGTACTTGTCGCTCAGCTGTTGGGAGTTACCAGGGTGATTGTGACGTCACAGAGCCAGATCATTCCAAGGCCGAGAAGACCGGAAGTGAATTTAGGTCTAGCATGCGAGGTTTTCTGTTGCCAAATAACCGTGACAGCTACAGCGATGGTGGACGGCATTTTAGACAGAAATAGAGAAAATCTTTATTTAAGATCAATTGTTTGACTTTTAGCAAAGAAAACTGTTGTTTCAGCTCTGTGTGGTGTATCTGGGAGAACATTACATTTGAATCAGCGGCTACTCTGAGGTACTGTCCTACACAGTGCTCCCAGTAGCTGCCCATTGCTTCTATGAGTGAATGGGTTAAATGCAGAGAGGAATTTACCCACGGGGAACAATAAAGTATACATTAAAATAAAGTCAGAGATTTGATCCGTGTGTGTTTCAGATGAAATGAAGACAAACTGATGCAGTAAATATTCTTTTATTGATGACAAAACTGTGCAGTATAATTTACTTAAGATGTTGCAGATATGAGAGCATTAAACAGGCTGATGTTTGGAGGCTCTAACAGCAGAGAGATGATACAGAAACATGACATCTTTATAAAATACTG